TAGTGTTACTCATTCAAACTATAACATCTAAGGTCTTTCTTAACCGACATACACACTCAGGCACTTTAAACACAGTTACATTGATGCATAATAACGAAGTATTTTAGCAAATTTATCAGAGGATTAGGAGAATGGGTTATGACGCAATAGAAACACACTGTGAAGATGTTTTATGAGACCGTGCTAAGAGTGCTTGATTTAATTACCAACAGGTTTGTTCTTTTGCATCATAGTTGAAGACCTGTTGCATTTCACACAGCAGAGATGTGACCGAGATTTGCTTACCTTGATATGTTACTCAAGGCCTTGCATCTGTATTTCCAAGACCCGTTGCTTTCATTCACCCTGCGTATTTAAAATGCTCACCACAAACACCAGACCAATTCCTACATGAACACCTCCCAATCACAGTACACTGGTCAGTCTAGAATCCTGTTCGGCTACTCTCTGTCGAGTTGTGCCTACAAACTTCCAAGCACGTTTTAAAATATCGATGCCAGTAGGGACGAAATGTAATCGCACAAGAAAAAAGTAACCACAGCAATGTTGCGATCACAAAAGTTTGATGTAAATGGTTAGATTGAAGAAGCCCCTGTCATAGAGGTCTGATTTTATATATCAGCTTTGACGCCATTGCTCCATCATGCTGATTGAATGTCAGCGTTTAAATACTGGCAAAGGAATTGAGGCATACTCCGAAATAACGCCACACGATCTGTTCCAAGGTTTCAGATGTCTTAAACGTACTGTGGAAGTGCAACTTGTCTGCACCCATGGCATTATTGGGTTGGAGCATGACGTCATGAGTGAGCCCACAGTTTTCCCATGACTGCCTCCTACGAAAAATAGATTTCTGTCTGCATCATACTTTAAGCCTTTCGACGTCATTATGTACAACAACAAGCAATAGCTATGACGTCTTACAAAGGCTGCAAAGAAAACGTTTTCATCGTCAATCAGACCGCAATTTTACACCACTTCTAAACGTTTGAAACGGCCTTGACGTAGGGATATGCTCTCCAGTGCAAAGCCGCAAATTGTTTGATTTCTTCGCACACAATTTGCCATTATTTAATTGTCTCAAGAAGGTCACATTGTACTTCGTAAATGCTTTTCGCGCGACCTTGTAGAAAGCAAGTGCAGGCGTGACTTATCCAGGTAATTCCACATTTGCATAGAAACCCGTTGAAAACTCCAGAGTATCGCAATTCCGACAAGAATGATCGAGCGCTAGTCGATGTAACTGCATAAGTGACTGTTAATTCGACAGATCACTGGAAGGTTTCGAACATTCTGATGAATGTCACCGTGAACCACGAGCATGAAGGCCATGTCATGTCAATCTGGAGATTGACTGCGACGGAAAATTCCGACAAAATCGCAAGTAGTATTGCAGAGTTTCAGAATCGACTGTGCCAATGTCTTTTGCCAATTCCACTGAGAACACAGCGATTGGTTGAGGACTTTCATGTACGAATTTAGGTGAGTTAAAGAACAGATGTCGCTAATGTCATTGCAACAGCTCAACAGCGGGGTCAGAGGACAGAAAAACAAAAATGAATCTTTGTGAGAGTGGTCCGTAAAAATGCAATTTGATGGCCTCCGTGTTTAAAATATCTGCTAAGGTTCATTTTAATAGCATCTGCACAGTGCTTTAAAAAAATTTCTTTTTTGTGAATTTGTTTAAAAGTGCAGTGGATCGTTTAAAAAATATTTGCCTGCTGTGAGACAGTCACGTGAGCCAATAGCGTAGCTTCGTTTCTATGCAAAGTATTACTAGTGACTTAACGACGCCTTGTATGAAGCCAAAGATAAAACTGCACTTTTTGTGCTGCATTACAATCAGACATTTGGAGTGGTTCTTCTCTTGTAGCCACTCACGCCACAGAGCCAATATCATTGCAGCTCAGAATCAAGATTCCAAGTGCTGGTTTGGAGAACACCTTGCTGGTTGAAGACTGTGGCAAGAGGACCATTATTTTGCTTGTCATAAATATCGGAGGATGGATATCCATGTGTGGAACACCTAGACCGGTCAACAAAAACGCTGATAGCAAATTATTTCAAGCAAGCTCAACTCAACGGCTTTAGTCTTAACAACCAGAGACAGGCAATTGGATTAAACGAGAAATTCAAGTCGTTCACTATCCAATTTACATCCGTCAAAATGTATTAGAGACCACAACACTACCACTCTGCACCAATCAACACTAAAACTGCTGTTAAAGGCCATGGTGCACCCCACCACGAGTGCCATTCATCCTTCCTAACGCCAAACTAAAGGGCTTGTCTGAACACATTCAAACTAGGCGGTGTCGAAATAAACGACACGCCAGTGTACCGTGTGCAGTCTGCCTAAGAGAATTCACAACGAATAATAAATAGTCAAATAGGCGATTTCTATCAAATTAGTTAGTTTTAATGAAAATGAAAATATAAAAGAGAAAATGCTAAACATGATTTTGAGAGCATGACAAGTTGGAATAAATGGTTGGATCAAATGAGCTACTGTTATACGAGCCCGATTTCATTTCCGCTGCGAAGCGTAGGAAATACCATTGCTCCATCTCATCGTATGCCTCCGGTTGATACTCAGCGTGGAACTTGTTGGCAGATATGTGTGGCACACTCTGCAACAGCGCCACATGATCCGTGCCAAGAATGCAGACACCTCTGACGTATTTAGTAGTACAAGTCACATTGTAGCCTCCCCAAATGACAAACCTGGCCATGTAGTTGTAGCCCACTTCCGAATGAGGTGATGCACTGATGACACAGGCCCCAGGCAGGCGGAGTTTGCTGTTGTAAGCGAGAATGGGGAAGTAGAAGTCGTCCGGATGCATGATGTTTCTTAGCTTGAGCATGAAGTCACGGATTGGACCGACAGCTGTTCCCATGACAGCTTCGTGCAGAAATTCTCTTCGGAAGGCACCATACACTGAGCCTTTGTACCATGTTGCCTACAAAGTCAAAAGTAAACTGTGTACTTTGCATTTCTTCAATGATGGTCTTTCATCTGTACAGTATTTTTGTTGAAATATTTAAACGATGGTTATAGCTACATATTTAAAACAATTTGCAGCATTTGCTTGAGTAAATTGACCATATGACTGGCAGCTGTTTGCGGTATCAATATAACAATTTGCCACAATATAACGTGGCGGATTTGGCAGTGGTATGCGTGTACATGACGAATTTTAACTTACTGATTGGCTATTAAATATAAAGCCGTGCCGCTTCATAGAAAGAGGATAACACGATAAACGCATTAAATGACAAATTACCCCTAATGGCAGCGTCTTTTTATTTGTCCACCACGCAAATCTGCCCAGTTCGACAGATTCAACGAGATTGGATCCATGGAGTGCCTTCAGTGCAGCCACCAGCTCCATGTTCGTTCGCAGTGGGAAATCCTGTCCAACCAAATTCACCAGGTACTTCC